TAATAAGTAAGCTTATCAAACGATCTATTTAATATTTTTTCCTGATATTAATGCTGGAAAATCTTATTATTTATGTTTAAAAGTGAAAAAAATAATAATTATAACAAAATACGTTATTTTATAAAGGAGAGCGCCATCTATTTTTGAAAAATATTTATTTTTTGATTTTTTAAATCGTAATAACTAAAAAACCCATGGCTGTCCCAAGTTTAAAATTTTTTTATGAATAGATATAAGGTTAGAGAATAAGAAAATATTAAATTCAAAAAAAAGTGGAAAGCGAAACACCTGGAATTTTTATGTTTAAAATTTATAACGTAAATAAAATCCGCAACAATATTATTTCAAAAAAATCCTTAATATTTAATAAAAGGCCTTTAATAGAGTTACAAAATGACATATAACTTATATCTTTAAAATCATTATTTTTTAACTTATCTCAATTTCAAAAAATCGTATTTTTCGAAAAAAGGTCATTTTTGCCACTTTTGACCACTGATATCTCTAGAACTATGAGTACTAGGAAGCTAAAATCTTGGATTCGATGCTTTCAAATGATATTCTCTCAGCATACAAAATTTTATCGAAATCGTTCTGAAAAATCGGCTCAAAACGAACCGTTTAACAACACTTAATATAGTCCATTTATAAATGAGTACAATTTGATATATTAAAGCCAAAGATTTTTGGGCTGACAAATAATATTTAAAAACACAAGCTGGGGCTAAATAATTTTTTTTAAACCTAGAATGAAAATAATAATTTTTTTTATATAGTCCATTTATAATTGAGTATGATTTGATATATCAATTAATTAACTTAAAACATTTGTTACTCATATATATTTTTTATATATAAAATATAACCACAATTTTTTTGTTTAAATTTAAAAACTGATAATAAAAAATCAAGATAGGGATTATTTTTTTGAAAAGTATGAAATTGGGAAATTCCCCAGCACTTATTTTAAGATTATGAAATGAGATTTTAAAATTTTTTCTATGTGAGTGATTACATCTTACGTGAAGATATATTGCAGTTTCTTTTACCATTTTTAAAGGTGAATTGTACAGATAAAATCAGTGCCAAAATTTTATACCAGGCCTATAATCTAGTTTTGTTAAAAAGCCTGATTTGGTTCGATTTTAAAATGTCCCAATTAAGATTTTAGCTAACTTTGAGATTTCTGTCATATATGAGCAAAATCTTTGGCTTGCATAATGTTACTTTCTTTCTTTTTCTTTCTTTCTCTTTCTTTCTTTCTTTCTTTCTTTCTTTCTTACTTACAGTAAGGAAGGAAGGGTTATAATTTTAATCGGGCTGTTTTTAAAATAGACCCAAATTGGGCTTTTTAACAACACTACTGTAGGCACATATGTAGCTGATTAATACTTTGGTGAGGTGAAGATAATTGCTCTATAATCTTCAAAGGTTAAATTTGATTTTGGTCTGGATAAGGCTCCATAATATAATATTATTTAAATCTGCTCACTTGGTATAGGTTTGAGCTTTTTTTACATAGCATGGCTCTATATTACAAATGGAGGTTGTTTTCCTATTTTCTTTTTTTCTATCACTATTTTTTAAGGGCATTTTAACTTTCTGAATTTTTTTTACCTCATTTTTATTTAGCTAAAATTATATTAATAAAAAAAATTACCTTTTGAAGTATACCTTTTTAACTACTAAATTATATTTAAAGGAACTGGCAAGATATACAATAATTGGGGATGTACCCCCAAATATGGAGACTGTAAGGTTCCAATATTATTTCTTATTCTTAAAAACAATAGAACCTTAGCTATCAAATTTAAATTTAGTAAATCTTTATGATTTCATACGTTAAATTTAGTGATCAATATATTTTATAGAAAGGTCATTCCATGTCAAATCGACCAAAAAACGAGATTTTTGGATGACCATCTTTAAAATGAACGAAACTTGGCAAGTTAGTTATTTATATTGTAAATGTAAATAAAATCAAAATTTTAGAGTGCTTACTCAATCACATCTACTGATGTTAAAAGTTACTTTTGAAACATAACTAGTTACATTGGCAAAACATAACTAGTTACAGTTACTAGTTACATTTTTACAAAAGTAACTAGTTATTAGTTACAGTTATTTTCAAAAGTAACTAGTTACTTACTTTATACATCATTAATATGCGCATTATTTATTTAATGAATGCATTTATTTAATATAAAAAAAATTAGGATAAACAAAGTATAATCAGTTATTTAATATAATATACAATTTATTTATATAAAAAAATATCGCAAAATTGAATATTTACACCGAATATAAAAATATATATTTGCATTGAAAAAAAACATTTATTTTTCATAAAAATTAGAATCTAATAAATGTTTATTTGCTTTTAATAACAAATTTATTTCAAAGTTATTATCTAGGAGACGTGCTCGTTTATCTCCAAAAATGAGCTTACCTAGACTGAACAAGCCCTCTACGGGAGCACTTATGTTAGAACAACATTATATTTAATAAAGAGTAATTTTAACTTTGGAAAATCGTTATATAAAGAAAAAGTGTTGTTATTAGATTTGATAAAGTTTTCTATAAGTTCATTATCCAGAATATTTTGGCGCTTTAGGTCAAAAAATCCAACTACATCAAGTGATGTTGGTTTTGAGCATGATTCATTTGTCTCAGATTCAATTTGAGGTATTTATTAAATTTAAAATTTCCTCCTTTTTTGCTTTATTCCTTTCTTGCCTAATTCAAGGCCAGTCAGTTTTAAATAAAGGGTGAAGAATTGCAGCAATGATGTTATCATTATCATAAAGATTATTAAACCTATAACATGATATTTTTGTTAGACTGGTTCTTGTAAGTAATGATTAATAATTTAATATTAAATTCTAAAATAATCTGTCTTTGTTTTTCCTTATTCTAAATTTAAAATTTTTTTTATTACGTATGATATGAAGTTCCAATGCTTGTTACTTGACGGAAAAAAATATATTGTGCTACATTTGTAAATAAATATAATATTAAAATTTCGCTCATTTTGGGCAGGTCCATCTTGAATTTGCTTACAAAATTATGAAGCCCAGCAGCAATGTAACAATTTAAGAAAAGAAAATCAATTTGAACGGGAAATTATAACAATCAGACATTTTCACAAAATTTTAAATTAATAAATTTAATTTAAAAAATAAATTTAATTTATCACAACATATTAAAAATAAAATTAATTATTTGAATATATCTTTAAAAGTAACTAGTTACTTTATCTTTAAAGTAACTAGTTACTTTTGGCAGTTACATTTCAAAAATTATAACTAGTTACAATTTTAAAAATATAACTAGTTACAGTTATTTTTTAGCTAAAATGTAACTAGTTACAGGTAACTAATTACTTGTAACTAGTTACCTTAACATCACTAATCACATCCAAAGATATACGCCTTCAAAGTCGAAAATCACGAAGTGGGTGATTTCATTAAATTTTGTTTTTTTAAAAAATACTTAAGATAGAGTTCCAAATTATATATCATTTTATAGCCCATAAAATTTTACATTGGAAAACAACAAAAAAAAAGAAAAATTCCAAGTGTTTTCTTATTTCCAGTAAAAAGAAAAAATTAACATTGTTAGGAAAGGATTTTTTTGGGTGTTGATATTCTCTAAAAATGTTTATTATCTTTATATTAAACGATTTAATAAAAAAATCTCGATAGCCATTTTTGTTTTTTAATTTTATTTTAATTTTTATTATTTATATAAATAAAAAAGATAATATAGATGGCGTTATATTCAAAAATTATTATAATATAGTTTTAATAAAAATATGTATTATATTGGTATTAAAATTTTAAAAATCGATTAAATATAAGAAATATGATATCCTGGGACAATAAGTAAGGAAACAGCCCATACAAATATGATTATTCAGCCCATACAAATATGATTATTATTAAGACGCTATATTGTAAAATAAACATTTGTAAAATTTTTTATTCAAACTATTAAAAAAACATATCTCTTATTTTTATCGTATTCCATTTTGCGCCAATTAATAGAAATTCCTGAGGCTATTATTTGTAGATATATTTTTTTGTTGTGTATATACTATTAAATTTTTTTGATGAATCAATTCAGCAAAAAGCCAAGTAAAATATATTACTACTCTGACCTAACAGCTGCACAATATAAAAAAACAAAAATGGCTATCGAGATTTTTTATTAATTTAATATAAAGGTAATAAACAATTTTAGAAAATATCAACATCCAAAAAAAAATCCCTTCCTAAAAATGTTAATTCTTTCTTTTTACCGAAAATAAGAAAATACTTAGAATTTTTTAATTTTTTTTGATATTTTCCAATAAGGGTATAAAATAATATTCAATTTGGAACTCTATCTTAAGTATTTTTTATAAAAACAAGATTTAATGAAATCACACACTTCGTGATTTTCGACTTTGAAGGTGGATATCTTTGGATCTGATTAGCACTCTAAAATTTTTATTTTATTAACATTTACAACATAAATAACTAACAAGCCAAGTTTCATTCATTTTTGAGATGGTCGGCCGAATCACTGGTCGATTTGTCATGGAATTACCCAGAACCTCTATTTTATTTATGTTTAAATGATTAACACAATGCGATGGATCAGGCTTTGTTTAGTAATTTCAGATCTCCAATATAAAAATATTTCATAGGTTTTTTTGATTGATATATATATATATCTAACACTCTAATCCTTGTTTTTAATTTTATAAAGATCAAAGGATAGGCTTATTATACTAAATAAAATGCCATTCTTCATGTGATAATATAATGCAGCCCTTGCATTATCATTCATTTTAACTTTATCTAAACTCTTAAAATTTATACCCAACCACATGGGCACCAAACCTGCATCATTTATAAAATTGATGATATTTTTTTTAGAATAAAATATTTCAGCATCATATAACAAGAATTTATTTTTTTATAATTTCAAATTTGTCTTTATTTGATATAAAATAGATATCTCTGCAAAAGAGCATGGCATTACTAAGATAATCGCTTCAAAAGCTTGTGCACTTGTTTTAGTTAGACAATTGTTTCATATGGGAATTATAGAATCATTTCAAGGACCCCCAAAGAAGGAGCAATGGAATGTATTAAATATTATTCATGAATGCAATTTAATGTATCATATGCTAAGTTCTTTCCCCTAAAATAATTTCAAAAAGAGGCAATTTTTTATGAAAAATTAAAATTTAAATAAAAATTTTTTGGCATTTTATAATTTATTGAACAGTAAAAGAATTTTTTACCAAATTCCATAAAGGAAAAAATTAAAACTATATAATTTCTTAAACTACTTATAACCTGTTTTCTGTTTTCTGATTTTTTATTAAAATTTACTGAAAGAGACATAAATAACTTTTAAAGTGTTTATGTATATAACCTTGAATACATTACACATGAATTTAATTCGCTTCCACTTTATATTGGTTCAATAAAGTTCCTTCAGCATGTCATGATGATCAAAACTCCTAGTTTTTTTTATTAAATTCAAAATTTCCACATCGATTCACAATGGTTTAACCCTCCCTTGACTATATCTCGAGGCTTATGCTATATATTTTTTATATAAACAGTATATCCTTTTAAAAAATCCTTAATTCGTTTTTCTGAAATGCTAAGAATATACACATACTCCACTAAAAATGTATTCATTCATATTTTATCATTGTGCCTTTAAGAAAATTTATAGAAAGGGCACATTATAGTTTTTCATATTTTCAGTGACATGGCATGTTTTTATACCCTCTCTACAACTCCACTTATTAGAGGTGCTTTGATAAGTACAGGTTTGGTTAAGGCCGATACTTAAATTTTAACCAATAACATGGCAATATTCAAAAATAATTTTTACTTTCAGAATTTAAAAAATTTTATATGCTTTGATATAAAAATTTCTAACCTGATAAAAAAGATTAGAAGAGTGTTAATCTTTATTTTAAATCTATAATAAATTTATTATGAGTTTTTCTTTTTTCCATACATTATTTTTTATGATATTGCCTAAAAAATATCATTAATTTTATACTTTTTAGATGGAACCATTTGTAGTGAATCTTCAACCTACCATCATAGGAAAATTAGATAACACCTTAAATTTGCTTCATATTCCACCAGAGCCAATAGTATGATTTTATTATTTATTTAACAAATTTTAAAATAATTATTAGGCAATCGGGAAAGAAATTTATAATGTTTACAATTATTCAGACTTATTACCTGAAGAGAATGAAACCGATTTTGTAGATAAAACAAGTTTTAATAATTTTACATCATTATTTAAGGTTAAGAATTAAGACCTTGAACCTTATTGGTTGTTTATGTGAGAGTCTTAGTTTATGTTGTATTTTATCATTGTATTTAAAAATTATTGTTTTGAATTTCAAATGACCTGTGGCAAGACTACTAATGTATTCATACAAATATTAAATGGGCCCTATTGCATTTTAGTTGGACCTTAATAGCAAATTAATATATGCTGACCAACATATTCCAAGCTTGGCTAGTTTAATAGGCTATACAGGGTAAAAATTATTACAAGTTGGGCCTAAAAATCCGATAAAAAATTTCCATTAGTCAGACCATGTTACCTCACAAATATTTTTTTACAAATGATTTAAAGAAACTTTAAAATTATTTTATTCATTTCCTTAGTATTAGATAACAATTATAAGCACATTAATAGTTATTTACTTAGACCCTTAGGCTACAAAGTTCTTAAGATTTTAGGTAATAATAGTTCTCAAATCAATAATCGATGGATTCTTTTAAATTTTATAATAACACAAATTACTGTGTTCCAAGGCAACTATCGCAGTTTCCTCTGAATCATGAAGCCCTTTATATTATTTATATAACCTTAAAATTTTATTTTAATATAGTTTTGATATATTATCTTATTTTATTTATGTTATTTTTAATAAAATGATTTGTTAAAGTTGCCTGGTCATTACCAGCTTCTAACTGGAATCCATGGACCTCCTTAGATATAGATGACCAATTACAAGTTTAATAAATTTAAAATTCAATTTTTCATAAAATTTCTATAATAGACATCTTGTGAACTACTTAGCCTGGATATAAACAAAAAATGGGAAGCAAAACTTGAACAATATCCGATCATGAGAAAAGTTTGCCTTACATTTATTTTAAAATATTCCTTCATTTTATTTTTAAACTAGATTTTGGATGAAAGAGATCTCCTCCCTATTTTTGAGTTAAAAGGACAAATTTTGAACTTGATTCAAAATAATTCTGTGATAATTATAAAAGGACCAACAGGTTGTGGTAAAACGACTCAGGTTAGTTTTGAATTACATTTATTTACTATTATTATTTGATTATGTTTTTTTAAAATTCATTTATATTATGTTTAATGTGAACTTCAAATTAATTATTTTGAATACTAAATTTCATTTGATGAATGTGATAATTCCAGAGTTTGATACAATAGGAAAATTGGCTCAAGTTCTATAATTTTTGAAATAAATCATTCTGGTTATTTGAGAAGTAGATTTTATTTCATAAGATTTTTAAAATTGGGTTTGGGTTCTTAAATTTAAATCAGTTGATCATGCAAAAAATAAATAAACTCAAAATAATCACAACATTTTCAACAATTTATACAAAGTTGAAATTCCTTATAAAAAATGGGTTCTGGTTCAATAGGGTTCTTTTCATATCCAGAAAAATAAAGACTTATAAAATTTAGTAAAAATAATAGAAACATCAGTAAAAATTTATTTTACTATATTATCACTTTTCATAAAATTAATTTATAATAAGAATAATACAATACAATTTTAAAAATAAAATTCTATTTATTTTTTAAATTTTATAAGTGAATTAAATTAAAATATCGATTTGTGATGGTAAAATTTTTACATAAAATGAAGTACTCGAAAATATAATAAAAATGAATTTTTATGAAATATACACTAGAGGCCTTCAAATGAAAGAATTTATAGGATTGGCCCTATTGGAATTTACTTTTGCTCAGCTTGTTCCATTTTCAATTTTTTTATTAAGTTTGTCAAGTCTAACCCAAAATATAAGTTGAAATCCTAAACTAAATCTATTTATAATATTGTGGAATGGTTAATTTACAAACATCACTCTTATCACTATCAAATTTTAGAATTCATAATCCATCCTAATATAGTTTGCCATACCTAGACCAAATAACAATATTACAGACTAGAGTCTACCGAGACGACTTTTTGGAGGCCGATCCGATCCTATATTCCCGATATTAAATTGATATCGACTGATTGCCGATCCGATATCAATCTAATTTTGTATTCTGTAAAGATACCAATTAATTTTTAATATACTTTTTATTAGTATAACATCTATAATTTAACTTACCATAACTTTGTCATTTAAATATATTACAATGATCAGTTATAGTTTATATTCAATTCAATTGTAATTTTTTAAAAGTATATAAAATATTTTTATTGTTAAATCACTTTTATAATAAGTAATAACATTAATCTATATATATAATAAGTAATAAACAAATATATTATGAAATTTGAAATTAATACTTAAAATAATATTTAACATTAGTATATCGAAGATTTCTTTTTAGAAATACCAAAATTTCCAATTTACCAGAGGTCAGCCTTTAGCGATGGTAACTGTCAATATCACCAGCTTCACTAAAAACAGATTCTGAAGAGATTATCACACTATAAACAGAATGCTCAAAAAACAATAATATGGCAGAATGTTTATTAATTTATTATTAAAAAAATATACATAGAAATGCAATTTTATTTATAAAAGTAAATGATTTTAGAACATTTTATTTTTGTTGAATACGCCATTTTATATCGGATCAGAAATATTTATAAAATTGACCTATAACCGATATTTAAAATGGGTGAATTATCGGGCCGATTTGATAAAAAATTTCGTTACATTCGACCTCTAATATACATTTTTAGAAATTTTAAATAGGTTCTAGTTCTTATAAATATTTAAAAGGGCTTCAATCCCTATAGTTTTTATTGTTCATGTACTTCCAGTTTCAAACTCATAGGTTATAGTATTATAAATATATTATTAATGGTCATTATATAAATTCTTTTCATATAATTTTAACTTCTATAAAATAAATAATTAGGTCCCTCAATACATATTAGATGATTATATGGAAAAAGAGAAAGGTGGTGAATGTAGTATTTTGGTGACTGAGCCCAGAAGGATGAATTGTTTATTAGCTGCTGAACGTGTTTGTGAAGAAAGGCTAGAGAGCTTGAGTGGGGATACAAGTGCAGTTGGATATACAACCCCATTTATTACAAAATATCCTCGCCCATTTGGCTCTATTTTATTTTGCACTACAGGTTTTCTTAATAAATTTTTAATGTTTAATATATATAATATTTTTAAAAATAGAATATTTAGTCAAAAAACTGGAAAAAGGGCTTAAAGGTGTTTCCCATATTATTATTGATGAAATTCATGAAAGAGATTTATATGTAAATAATCACATATATAAATATAATGTATTTTTTGATCAATTTGTTTATCAAGTGTGCTATGAAAGATTGACTAATTTTAATTATTTTCTGTATTTTTATATTTCAGACTGATTTTTTACTTCTTGTGTTGAAAGGCATGATTTCCATATATCCTAATATAAAGATCATACTTATGTCAGGCTCCAGAGACACCGAGAAGTTTTCAAAATATTTTGATGATTGTCCAGTTATAGAAGTTTTTGTAAGATCGTATCCAGTTCAAAGTTTTATTTACGATAGTTTTCGGTAATATTTTAAAATGATATATTGTAGGGTATTTTTTGGAAGATTGTGTTCAAATGACTAATTTCGATTTCGATGGCTCTGTGTCATCAGCCATAGCAAAAATCGCTATGAAAAGAAAACAAAAACTAGAGAATACTGATATAAAACTAAATGGTATAAAAAAATTATAAATCGAAATTAGGATTCTGTTAATTCCTTTTTTAAATAAGCTAATTTTTTACACTAATCACATTTTAGCAACTGTTAATAAAAAATCATTGATATTAAATTCATATGGCAATTTCGCCATCCTTATCGATTTTTTACCAAAAGAGTTATAGATATAGTAATATAGATAAAACAATCTATCTTAGATAAATGTCTGGCAATTTTTTATCATTATTTTTTAAATATAAAGGTGAAGGTGATGAAATAGATAATGTTGATGAAAATAATGATGACACTCGAACAAAAATTGATGAAACAATGAAATATGACGAAAATTTTATGAATATTAATTTAAACGCATGTGTATCTAAAGCATATAAGCCTGAAACTCGACATGCTTGCTCAAAATTGATGGAGAATGATATATCCTTTGAATTGATTCATGTATATATTTTTTATGAGATTAATTGATAATATTTAGATATTAATTATTTAAATTAGGCATTACTAGAATATATTGATAGTTTACAAAATCCGGGTGCTACACTTATAATTTTCCCAGGAATAACCTACATCACTAGTTTCAATAAATATCTTATAAACATTCCAAAATATAGTAAAATTTATTAAATAGATGCTAGCAATACATTCTCCCTTAGATAATCCACAAACATGTCGAATTTTTCAATTCCACTCTTATATAACCCATGAAGAACAAAGGAAAGTCTATCAATTAACTCCTGTTGGAATTAATAAAGTTGAAAACTTAAAATTTTATTACTCCTTTGTATAAAATTTTTGTTAATTTGATATTTATTTTTAATATTGATTTAATTTTTTGTTTCTAGATCATATTAGCTACAAATATAGCAGAAACAAGTGCTACAATAAATGATGTTATATATGTTGTCGATACCTGCAAAGTTGACACCAGAATATACGCCCCTGCTAATGATTCAATTTATTATATAACTCGATTTGCTTCAAAATACAATTTAGAGCAAAGAATGGACAGTGCTGGCAGGGTTAAGCCTGGATTTTGCTTTCATTTGTGTAGCAGAGCTCGATATGAAACGTTTGTTTAAGCTTTAATACATTAAATCTTTACCTATCAAAGATAATTCAATATCTGTATTGGCCCAATACATTTAATCTTTACCCAATACCAAAATTTGGCAAATTTTGTTAATGCCTCTTCTTTCTCTTATTGTACATAGAAAATATCTATTATTTATCTATTTAGAGATAAAGTTTTTATTTTTAAAAGCTTATTTGATTTTGACGTTATCTGGGTAATACCAACTGATCACCAATATTAACCCATACAATTTTACTAACATTATCGGAAAAATTGCGGTCTATACTAGGTTGGACATAAGTGGGTAAAATCGAAAAAATTTTCTAGCAAAATGAGCTGAAAACACTATTTAGATATTTCATTATTGCATAAATTTAGCAAACCAACCAATGAATTAATTTTTTAGCTTTGGGTGGGTAGGTTAAACAAAATTATTATATAAATAGATCAGTGGATGAATTTTATGGGCTAGCTGGTGAGCAGGTTAAAAACCCCATTGTAGACCTATGGTCTATATCCACCTTTATATACTATAATTTATCTTGACAGTTTTTATAAGTTTATTATACGTTATTAATTTATATATATATATAAAATCATATTTTAAAGTTTGGATGACACCTTGGCCCCAGAAATCTTTTCAGCTCCACTACACGAAATATGCTTGATTATTAAACACCTAAAATTAGGTAACATTGCTGCATTTTTATCAAAGGCTATTGATCCACCTTTAATCGAATATGTTAATGCTAGCCAAGCTAGTCTTATAGCAATGGGGGCCCTACAACTTCTAAAAAACGAATCAAAGGATAATATTAAGTTAACATCCTTAGGCAATATCCTAGTTACACTACCCTTTGAACCAAAAGTTGGCAAAATGGTCATATTTGCTACTATTTTAGGGTAATATCATTATTTATGAATTGGTTTATGTTTTTTAACATAATATTATGATAATGGCTCGATGTTTTTTACACAGTCGAGCAAATGTTTTAAGCATCATACTGCATCCTAATGTTTTTTTAAACTATTATTTTTCCAGATCTGTTAAAAATTGCAAAAGTAGGTTTTTGAAATTTGTATTCAAGCTAATGTTATATTAATTTTATAAATATAGCTTTGAAAAGTTTATATTTTCTGATAGAATAAAGTTTTAGTTTTTTTTATTAGTTATCAAAAAGTTTTTTAATTCATATGCCTGAGACTGACCTTTATATTGCAAATGTGATATAAAGTTAATAATTTTGATTTCTTGTTATTAAATTTTTACACTACAAATGGATATAGGCATAATAATCTAGCTCCTACCCATACGAATTTTGTATTAATTATATTTTAAAAATTATAATACAGATTGGGAGATTCGTTATCTGTTATTGCAGCATTTATGTATTATCAAAGGTTTTTTGACATTGAAATCAAAAAATCTAAATTAACTTTCCAAGAAACCCACGGTCGACTCAGTGATCAGGTCTCTCAACTCATAACATTTCAAAGATGGGAAAAGGCCAAGTTAATTATAATCTTTTCTATCAAATATATCTTACACAGTGTGCAAAAAAGCTATAATCATAATAAAATTTCATTAGTAATTTTAAGTAATTAATATTTATTTTTCCTATTACATTTTAGAACTAAAGTTAAAAATATATAGTTTTAAACATATATACATCTCAATTCTTATATATTTTATTTTAAGATTGTGAATATTTATATTTAAAAAAAAATAATTAGGAATATTGATGAAATTACGGAAATCAATTACTGCAAAGAAAATAATATTCCAATTGCCTACCTGAAACTGATAAATGAAACCAAAAATATAATCAAGAAACATATAAATAGTATTGGATTTGATTTAGAGATCTTAAAATCAAGCAATATCGATACAAATTCTGACAATAAACTAGATATGGTAATATCATTTAATATAACATTAAATTACCAATTAAATTTTTACCTATCATAGCCAAAATATTGAACAATTAAGGTAATAATTTATTTCCACTCCATCTTCTTAGTTTAATTTTTAAAACAATTTAGTTCCATTCCTATCATTAACGTGAATGAAAAATAATAAATTAAATAACAAACAAAATTTTATTTTTAAATGGTTGTTTTATCAATAAAAATCATATCTGTACTTAAATAAACGAATAATGAAATATGTTCTATTACTTTTCAAATTAAACTAATATAATATATAAATGTTTTTTTAAACCCTTATTAATTGGTTAATATTTTTTATAGGGTTGTCATGGTTATGGTTTATTTTGGGTTTCGCGGTTCCGGTGTCTTATTTTTTAAGAACTTAAATTCTTTAATAGCATATAATATAACTTTTTTATTGCCATTTAAAACACCTATTTTATTCTTTAAATTTAAGTATTGTATTATGAGAAATAACTAACATTTAAGTTTTTCTCACATAAGCATTAATTTTATTTATGTTCATAGTAATTAAAATTTTTTATAAATATTTATGTTCAATATAATTTTAGTAAAATTTATTGCATATTATATATATTTATATAGATACTTGCTCTATTGTGCATAGGATGCAATACAAACTTTGGTTATCATATACGAAAAAGAAAAGTAATGATTGTAGGTGGGAATGAAGCTTTGATTAGTCGAAAATCAATTTTGTGTTCCAACAATATATTTCATAGTCCATTTATGGTTTTTGGAGAAATGGTATATAAAATTTTTAGTATTTATATATATATTTTTTTAAACAGACTAGTACTAAAAGAAGTGCCTTGATTGACAAAATATCTGAGATATCATTAATTGATATTTTAGTATTTGGAACCTTTAAACTAAAAATTTTGGATAATAACATCGTTTTAATTGATAATTGGTAAAAAATTTACTCTAATTCTATAAATTTTATTTTTTTATAATATATTAGGATTAAACTCAAAGTAGACCCCTACATTTTATCTAAATTCACTTCATTGCGAAGTGTTGCTGAAAAATTACTCGAAACTTTATGTTTCAATCCCAGTTTTTTGAATGAAATAAGAGTATGTCAAAGTAAACCAGGATTTAACAAGTTAAACAATAAAAAGGATGATACAGCCACGAAAGCAGTTCTTCTTATAAATGGACTTTACAAAATTTGTGAAATTGATTCTATTAAAGCACATGAAAGTATAATACTCTGCAATTTCATTCATTAAATATAGCTTTTTATTAAATGCAAATTTAAATCAATGCAAGTTAATTATATGGTTAATATACAAATTTGATAGCCATAAACGACAATTATATATTTAATAGCAATAAATGGTACTAATTTAAAATTAATGGCCATCATCAGAATGTTACTAGGAATCATAAAAAATTTTAAAATTATAGTGTTTGATATAAAAGCTGAGGTTTTTGTTCAAAGTGTCTCGAAATTGTTTCAAGGCTTTTTTGGCTGATGAGTTTGATCAGTGATTCCCCCCTTTTTTTTGACGAATATATTATTTCCAGCTAAGTTTGAATATTCACAATGATTCCTATTAGATCATAATTACTACTGGAGGAGGAAAAGTCTACTTTCCCATATCCCAAGGAGTTGGAATGCCCATCAGGCTATGAATTATATGTTCCCGTTCTAAATTATGAAGAACAAAACAGCAAAAAATTGGAAATCTCGTTTATATCTTATTGAAATTTTTTAGTAAATTTGAAATTGTTATTAATAGATGCTATGGAAGTAAACACTATTTTTTATATTTTAGAAATGGATATGGATGACCAGAATATAATGGGGGAATTAAATAGACTAAATAACTATGTACTTTTAGAGGAAGAAGCAGGAGATGAAGATGGAGATAAATTGAGCGTTTTATCCTACAATTCGGGTGATTCATATCATGCTTCCCATGCTAAATTAATCAGGTTTAAGCATGCAGCCCTGGTGGACCATTCAACCAACTACAATCCCAAATTAAAAGATTGCACATTCATTCCCACCAACCTTGGATCTCTGTTACAAAGTATTGACAAAAAGGATGAAATACCAGAAGCTTCATCTTATGATATCAACACCTACACTGATGATCATGTTGATTTAGTTAAATATGATAAGGGTCGACCTCCATCATTCTTTTCTCCACGACCTCTTTTTAGTCGCTTTAGAGGACCACCACCACCATTTATGCATCGACCACCTGGACATTTCAGACATTTAGCACCTTTTCGTCATTTTGGAGGTCCTCGTCCTTATCGTCCACCCATGATGTGGGATAATAAATCCAATAAACGCTATTTCCTTAGTGATGTTAACAAACGCAAGAAAAAAAGGAAAACGACAACACCAATTACTGCTAACAAAGTTAATGCTACTTCTGGTTCAGCAACTGTTGATAGTGCACCAGCCCCACCACCTCCATTCATTGATACCTCAAATATAACAAGCGAAAATATAAAAGGTGTTCGTATTGACCAATTGGATGATAAAACGAGGGATATTGTACTTAGAGCCCGCAAAAGAGCCAAAAGGGAACGTTACATGAAAAATAAAAAGGATCAAGAAGGTAGTACAGGTAATTTAAGTTATTTTTTATTATAATTATTATTTTTTGTTATAAATCACAGGGAATGCGGTTGCATCTAAATTTACAAATAAAAGACGCTCTTTTAACCAAAATAAGAAGTTTAATCTAGCTCCTTTCCCCAAAACTGGTGCAAATAAATCATCAATCACCCCCTCCTTGAATTCTTCTCTTAACAGTAATCCCCCAACTACACCATCTTCCAATACATTTGCATATAAACCAACATCCAATCTTAAATTTAATAAATTTAAAAAGCCACTAAGTGCATCTTTTACTAAAGCAACAGGTCCACCTGCCAATTCATTCAAATTTACTGAATATTCGAACTTGAGCAATCCACAAACTGTGCAACAAGCAGGATCTCAAATGAACTACAATGATCCATCAGTTGCTGCTATGTTTAATATGTTTAATGCTGGCTATCCCAGCATGCCAAACCAGCCTCCATTTAACTCTTTTATGCCTAATCAATACGGTTTTTATCCAAATTTTCCCTTTCAATAAAAAATAAAAACTTTTTTGTAATAAATGCATTATCTAATTTTATTTTATACTTTTTTCAAATTTAGTTTACACGTTTATTTTTAAAAATATAGTTAGTTATATTATTGCTTAGTTATACTAAAAATACACCATTATAACATATTTCAATTTATTAATTATATTTTGTATAAATAAATGTGATATCATACATAAAATTAAGCTTTGGTTAAATCTTCTTTATTGTACAATTCTCTCATAAGCTGGTAGACATACGATGGTGCGTAACTTCCCCTAATTTATGTTATTTTTGTTTAAAAAATTATATGACAATTATTCTTGCCAAAATTGGGTATTGTTTATTTTAAAAAATGTTACTGAAACTGAAATATAAATTATATTTAGAGTTCTGTAACAGGTGAGTTTTTAACAATGGGCGGAATTTTTTTTGATATTTTAAAATATTAAAGAATAAATTAGAGTGAGATTAGATTATTTCACTTAGCTAATAAGGAAGATGTACATTGAACATACCTATATTAAAATAACAGCAGTGTAAAGAATACCATAAATTTATAAGTAGCTCTGTAGACCATTTTCTTAATTTAGACCTTTTACAATAAAGAAAATGATTATCTAGAAGCAAAAAGAGTATAAATTAAAAGAAAATAATTATCTAGAAGCAAAAAGAGTATAAATTAAAAGAAAATAATTATCTAGAAGCAAAAAGAGTATAAATTAAAAGAATATTATAAAATATATCCAACGTGAATTTGAGATTGACAGTAAACAAAATATTTTATTTCATAATCAACAAGACCAATTATCTTGAAATTTGTTTTGCATCAAGTATTTTAAAAAATTTCATCTGGATACGATTTTCTGAAAATTTGTCCAATCTTAATAGACATTTTTATGATTATTTTAATTTTTTTAGTAAATAACCTAAATATTTCATTACAAATAGTTAGTGCTGTAAGTCTTGTGAAAAAAACTAAATTTTCTTTTTATTCATTTTAACCTGTATATATTCCTTATAAAATAAATTATAATAGAGAATAATTAACATACTTGTTTGATTCAATATTAATTATATTAACAAATTTGACTGTATAATCAATGTATTCTTAATCGCAAATGTTTATATTCTGAAATTTTTACATCAATTGTGTTCTTCATCCTTCACAAACAACATTTTCACGTTGCCTCATGCAACAAGGCAACCATCCTCCAAACAATATTTCCACCAATCAATCCTCACTAACTTTTTCATACTCTTAATACTCAACTTCTAATCAACCATATCATACACCTTTAAAATAAATTCAACTTCTTGAATAAAAGGCAGATTTGGGTTGTCATGAATAGTTAGAAGTACTCCCTAGTCGTAACCGTGGTAATCTCTCATAGCATCTGAACAAATTAGAGTTGCCATCAGTTTACGCCTAGGGTATAACATAGTACCCTGGTAATTTTTCATAGCATCTGAATTAGAGTTGCCATCAGTTTGCGCCTAAAGTATGACATCGTACAGCCTCACACTTGTCCCAGTAGATTCGAAAGACAGGCTCAATCTGAAATTTTTTTATACTAGTCATAAACGCCACACTTAAATAAATCTTTAAAAGCCTCATATACCTAAGTATCTTGAGCCCACCATCTTCACCCAGACAGATTAAGATCTGAGAAATGACGACATTTACTTGGGCCGTGAAATATTTAATATGGGATTTTACTGTGTCATTTCCTTTTAACACAAACATAAATTTTGTAACTGAAGCCAAATCAAAAAAGATTTAAGAATCTATAATTTTTTATTTACCTCAATAGTCATTTCCTCCACAAATGGCTATTTTTGGTCTAAAACTTTAAAAACCCTAGGACTCAAAATCAGAACATTAGATGCTTTTGGGAAGGTATAGTTGAATTTTTAAATATTTTATATTATATATATCTGAGACTAGAATTACGATTTGCATGTCCTGGCCCTTAAAAATTTTTTTTTGCCCTTTCACAGGTATATTTAAAAAAAATTAAAATATGCAAGTCTCTAATGTATATTCTTTTTAATGTATTTTAAATAATTTTATATAAATAAAAGATTGCTTATATAAAAAAAGTTCAACAACAAAAATGTAACAAATAAAATAAAAATGAAGTCGGGTAAAATTAATTAGAAAAATTTAAAAAAATATAAATTTTTTAAGGAATAAACTAAAATCATTTTGCGTTATCGTTACTCAAAAAAAGAAACGCGTTGCGTTACTTTAAAGGCTAACTGACCTATCCTTAAAAAGGGATTTCGTGGGATTGCAAGTTTCCCTGCCTCTTTTTGTCGAAACTGTTAACTTAGTATTTGGGATCTATATTTAATCACTAAAGGATATTTTAGATATTTGTCATAGGGATCCCATCTTTATGAAATTTGGGCTTTTTGATTTTAAACACATAAAATTTAAGGCGGATATAGTAAGGACTGCCCTAATTTTTTAAAAATTCCGCCCAGGTTATGATTAATAAATTTTTATATTGTAAATTTTTGCTATAAACAAAGCACAAATGTTTTTTTAATTCGTAGAATACTATTTTAACAATTAAATTTATATTATTTCTAAAAAAATTTGGTATCAAAATCTTATAAATTTTTTAAAGAATCTTTATATTAATTTGATAAAATATAGTTTAACAAAAATAAATTAATTTAAAAATATTACATAAGAACGAAATCTATAATATGCCACATATAGTTAAGAGTAAAATTTGGAAAAATTTGTGGATATCTGATGATAAAAATCAAATACTCGAAAAATAAAACAAAAAAGTAATAATGTATCTTATAAAGTCTTTGTATACCTTTCAATAATTCTTTAAAAACTTTCCTTGTTTTACTTCCCCTGAGATGTTCTTTAGACTGTCTGAATTTAAATACCCGTTTTAAATAATTATTTATGGTTCTTTATAGAATTTGATTTTAAAAAAATTAATTTCTAGATGATTAAACTCCCCGTTGTCGTTTTGAAAAAATGCACACTATTTGTTTACTTAAAAATAAATTAAGAAAATATCAATTATATTAAAATCAGAGGACTACAGGTCCAGCCCTACCTGGGTACACGGGTCGGGCCGTATTTTAATTTTTTTAAATACTAGAGTCGGGTCTCAAGTGCCGTATATTTTAAAACCAAATATTTTTAAAAAATTAAAAATGAATATAATTTTATAAAAATTAGGATGGGGCAGGAAAAATTTTGGAAAAAAAATCCGAACTGGGTTGGGCTTTGCAAATGGCACCTTTGCAAGTCTGATTAAAATAATGATGTTATATGGACTTACGTATTGGATATAAAAACGGTAATTAACTCTGGAGGTACCAAATCAAATTGAGTTGTCACAAATTCGACACCTTCGCTATTATAAATATCATGACATTTGATTTGATTTTTGATTCCTTCATTTTCATAAGATGACATGTGATCATTACATATGTCAAAATAATCACAAGATGGAGTTAAATTATTATTGCGAGGTGGCAAATACGTTGGAGTTAGTTTAAACATCCCTGCACAAACTATGAAAGGTACGGAGTAATGCTTAGCAGAAGCTGCCATATTAAAAGTTCCAGATAAAGATTGTACGCCGCCATTAGCTAAAGTAAGATTGGCACCTACAATTACTTTATTCACTCGTGACATTACAGCAAATATAGCAGAATCGGGAATTACACTGACTTTTAAACCTATTGGAATATTATATAATAAAAAAAAATTAGCATTAAAATTAAAAAATACCTCTCTCATATCAATTTAAATTGTTAAAATAATGAATGCTCTAGCTATTTCTAGTCCTACATTTTTAGAAAATTTTATTAAAGCAAGTATTTGTAAAAATTATGATTTTCTGTCATATTTAAAATGAAAATCTAAATAAGGAGTAAAAATTTTTCTGCTATAAATTTCGCTCGTTTATCAATAAATATATTTTTAAAAATTTAAAAACATTACTTTAAATCTTTATTAAACATATTTAAAAATCAAATATTAATATATAAAAGGCTCCATTTTCCTATAATATCCAAAGCCAGCACCAGTATGTATCATTATCTTTTCCATTTACATCCAAGATTTCTAATCAACATGGCATTTTGCCTTGGTTTGAATGCTATATGTAAGCTTATATTAAAAAATTACTTTAAATACTCATTGTTATTTAAATTATTAACGAATTATATAATCTTATTGATATCAATACATTACTCTTTGCTCAATTTTCTTTTATACTCAGTCAGTCCTAAGGATTTATCAAAATTTACAATTGAATTATAAACCAGGAGAGATATAAAGGTCATTCCATGATAAATCGACCAAAAGAATGGCCATATTTGAAAACGAATGAAACTTAGTATGATAGTTATAGAGTCAGCCTAAATAATTATCCAAGTTTTTTAGCTCAAGCCAAAATGGATAGGCAGTTATGGGCTCTCAAAGTTCAATACAAGTGTGATCTAAGTTTTAATATCATAAATATTTAGTCCAAATTTATAAATTCTATATAATAATGTATCCCTTAAAATTTTCTTTAAGAATACATAAAAATATTTTAAAAAAAATTCTTTAGTGTAGTTTTATTTCCGGTAAAACAAAAATGAGATTATTGAGCTAGTCCCATTTTGGGACGATCAAATTTACCAAATTATTAATATATTTAAGTAAGAATTAGAATGGAGGAAATAAAAATTTACAAATGATTTAGCTTTTCATATTTTGGGAATAAAACAGGATAAATAAAAATTTATAATCTTATAACTCATGATTATAATTACTAATTTCAAATTCCCGGGAATTTTGTAAATATTTCACGAATGGTAAATTTTTCGGTGGAAGCTTACATAACCTTAGGAGACAGCAAAGTGTTAAACATGTATATATCATGGAATAAGAAATAATAGCCCTGTTCCGATACTATCCTGACCTTTTTTTAAAAAAATATTTCATTGATTTTTTAATATTATGTTATTTACAAAATATTTTTGATAAATTATAATACTAAAAATAAACCGAAATATTTTTAGTAGGATATTTTATAATCATTTAAAATAAAAAAAATTGATTCGTGTAAGATACAATTAAACAAGCAGGAAAAACATTTACACTGGATTCTTCTATAATAAAATACAAGATAATTCTTTTACATATAAATATTTGGAGTCTGTAATATTAAAACTGGTTAATAATAAAGGCTTCTGTAATTTTGAAAAGGGAATTGATGAAGATAAGTGGCGCCTAATACCCCTTTAGGCATCGGAAGCCTTAGGAAAATATATCCACTAAAAAAAGCAGTAATTTTAAAATTTGTTCATTCCTATCTTTACAAGTAAATTTTCACAATTATTTGGGTTTTCTTAATTGAGTTTTCTGCTACATTTAATTAAAATTGCCTTGGTGTTCCAAATATGCAATTTCTCCATATTTTTTTCGTCAAAGATAAGAGATGGATGTTTTTTCAAAACATAATCAGTCCATTTATCACACCTTATACTATGGTAGAGATGTTAATTTTTTAAACATAAAATACTTATATTTGATATGAATGTCTCAAGAGGAGTTTCTTGATTTTTTTTCTCAAATAATAACGAATATAGTTTAAAGGTCTATAATATTTCGTTTATAATTTTAAATTAAAAATATATCTTATTTGATTCATTTCAAATCTATTTTCCCATTTTTGCCATATATAATCGATTTTATAAATTTGTAATAGCACAAATAAAGCTATTAATAAAATTTCTAACGAGGATACAGAAGTGAAGGGTATTTGATGTAGTCTGATACATTCGCTTCAGATGTTTGTACCCTCCCCCTAGCAAATTTAATGACTCATTTGTTTTGTGTATCTTCACCGTTGTAGGAGTCATTGAAAAAATAAACATTCGTTTTCAGAATGTTATTATTTATAAATGATTTATGATTTTCGATGTAAAATACACGCTGCCAACAAATGGTCAAAAAAGGGGACACTGCCGATTATGGTTAATAGGCAGTAAATTGTCATTGCAATGCTAAAGATTTATAAATATCTTTTCATAAATTTTTTTTTATTTGAATTTATCATAAAACTTTAATAACTAAAGATAACATATATATCGTATTCCTTAGGATGAAGTTAAACGTTGTGTAGCAAAGTATAAGTTATTAATATAATTGTAAAAAACCTGAGTTGCTAGGAAATGATGAAGAAGTTTGAGTAGGAGCTGTTGAAAATGATAAAGATGTCAGAAATCCAGTACCAACATTTTTGTTAGCATTCAGTTGATTCTGATCTAAAGATGAAGATAGATTTTTGGCTAGTAAATGACCCTTTTTTATATGACGTAAAGTTATCAATGTTCAAATGTGTGAATAAATTATTTGTCCATAAATCATTAAAATGTTATATTAATTCGTATAATTAATGGTTTTATACCATTCCTAATATGATTTAATTTTGTTATATTATTTTGATTAATAATAAATGAGCATTAATGTGTTATTTACGAATAGGTAAAACTTAATCTAGATTATAATAAATATTTATATATCTAGGGTTGGCAAATTGTAAAAATTTCAATCGCAATTCAAAAAAAAAATTAATATAAAAATCGAGTAAAATGAAAAATTTTTTGACTATAAAATAAATGCCCTAAAGATGTAACCGAGCCCAATATTTCTCTCTGTGATTGCATAATCCTACCATTATAAATATTTGTATTATAAAATTTGAAACTTAAAAAATTTGGCGTAAAAGAATAATATTAGAATAATTATCCTAATTTGATTTTAGGTTCTAAACAAATCTCACATATCAATATTCCAAAAGGCGAAAAAATTAACAAATAATTCTTATTTATTAAATTTAAGATTTCCAAAAATTTATAATAATTAAAATTTATCATTAGACTGATTTTTTATATCATTAGTAGTCGAATAATTTTCTACTAACTCAAACATCCCTGTGATATTTCATTAATTAGGAACCCCGTTAGGAGGTAAGTAATTTTCAAAATAATTATCTGCAATCATTATTCCTCAAACTACCAGTTTTAAGTAAGTTACTAGTCCATCATATTTTCTCCTCAAAATACTCCTTTAATTCAGCAAATTTAATATTGCTTAACCTCAGGTGCTTTCGTTTTTGAAACTCTTTTAAAAGAATACGAACAAAGCTTTTAAGAATGATGCAAGAGTTGTTACTGAATATTAAATTCGATTAGACAACTCTTCCTTGCAAATTAAGAGGCTTATCTGCGTTAACTATCGCCCTTGTTTCTTTCATATCTTTCACAAAATCTGTAAAACATATCATTTCCCAAATCATTTCAATTTATAATGAAAGTTTGATGGACGATGTAGTGTTTCCTTGTGGATGGGAGTGAAACGAAATCATCACATGGGTTTTTTTTTGTAAAGAACAATAAAAGTTTCTTTGTGTGAGGTTTGGAGTGAAGAAGACATTATATTGGATGAAGACGGGATTGATCGGGAAGATTTAGCAATTTTATGATTATCGTTTATGATACTTAGATCATATTTTTTAGATATTTGTATGAATAAATTGGATTTTTAGAGTTTATGGGAACTTGGACTATTTCTAGTTGGATTGTTTTGGATTGATAAGTTATATTTTTAGAGGGAAGGATTGAGAGTAAGGGACATTCTATATTGTTGCCAGCTGACCAGGATTGCAAGATTTGGAGTGATTCGGTTTTAAAGGTAAAACAAAATTTTTGTGATATATATGGGCCATTCCACGTCAAATCGATCACGATTCGGCCGACCCCTTTTAAAATTGTTAAAAATTTCTTGAATTATTTAGATAGGTAAAAGAGTGAGAAAGCCGTTTGTTTTAGCTCGCTAGCACACCTGGTTCACGAGATATAGGGGCTCAAAGGTACAAAAAAGATCTACTTTGGAATCTGTAAAATTTTTAAAATGCTTATATCTCAAAAACTATTTATAGTAAAAAATTATAATATATCATTTTGTAGGTAAAGAGATTCTCTAATGGGCTAACAGAGAATAATAAATATTGGCGCCATTATAGGCTTTTAATATCCGGTTTACCTAAATTGCTTTATCTGTATTTGTAAGCAAAATAGTGAGTTTGTTTTCGAATTTTTTTTATTGCTTTTTATTTAGACACCTTTATTAAATATATATACAATATCAAAACCTTGACGACGCTATCGACTCCAAAAATTGATAAAAAAATAGATGGCGCTTTATGAAACTACGGATTATAGTTAAAATTTTGCTGCTAACTTATCAATAACCAGATATCTTCACTTTTTATACTAAAAAATTTTGATTTTCTATTAAATATACTAATTAACTGAGGAGCAGAGTGGGCATATGTCCATTAGACACTTAATAATGTAACGAATTTCCAATAATAAATATCTTTCATATTTTTTTTAATTTTTAAGGTATCTGCAATTTCATCAAATTTTTCATCATTTGATGGATAATGGTATAATTTTAGTCGTTAAAACTTTTTTTACTCTAGATATTTTTTTCTTCGAATATTTCTTTTCACATAAGCGTTTTCTTTTAATGAGAGATTCCCCATTTGATTATAGAGATATATTAATGTTATCAATAGCCTCTTGATTAATTATATGAAGAGGAGGATCAATATATACCATTTGAAGTATAAGAAATGTTTGCTAATTTTTGTCGCCATGAAGAGCATATTAACATATCTAAATTGAATGGTAAATTTTTTTGGGTCATCCAGGGTAGAATCTTTCTTAGATTCTCGCGATAATAAGCATGTCTCTGTAAATGGGTTGCAACATTTTAATATTTGGTACCTCCATCTGTGATATAGATAAAATTTTAATTGATCTACACCTAGAATACATGTTTTTGCACTCTCCAAATCCAGATTGTTATTGGTAAAGACAATAAAATTAATCTGAACGGACAGGTTAAAATTATTTTACATAAGGAGAGATCGTTTTAAACAATTTATTTTGTAAAATATAATCGAATATATGCCTAATAAAATATTCGTTTTTACTGCAGATGTTATATATTATCGAGCTAATAAGTCATTCGCTCGCTTTAGTAGCAAAGTAGAGATCTAAAAAATGTGAAACTTTTAAAGGATAGTGAGAGGGGAGGGCAGAACTGGAAAATTTTATCATAATTCTTATAAACGTATCAATATTTCCATTTTCCTTAAGAATAATATTTTTCAACTAGCGGCTTTTTCAATTTTTGGTAAAAATGTATATTTCGGAAAACGATAGCGTCGCCAAGGTTTTGACATCATATATATATATTTATAAAAGGTGTCTAAATAAAAAGCAAAAAAAAAATTCGAAAACAAACTCAATATTTTGCTTAAAAATATAGGTAAAGCAATTTAGGTAAACCGGATGTTAAAAGCCTATAATGGCGCCAATATTTATTATTCTCTGTTAGCCCATTAGAGAATCTTTTTACCTACAAAATGATATATTATAATTTTTTTTACTATAAATAGTTTTTGAGATATAAGCATTTTAAAAATTTTACAGATTCCAAAGTAGATCTTTTTTGTACCTTTGAGCCCCTATATCTCGAGAACCAGGTGTGCTAGCGAGCTAAAATAAACGGCTTACTCATTCTTTTACCTTTCTAAATAATTCCAGAAATTTTTAACAATTTTAAAAGGGATCGGCCGAAAAAGTGCCTTTTTTGATCGATTTGACATGGAATGGCCCATATATATTATATGATAAATTTGGACAACGCATAAGTACTAACCACTATATAGGGGTAGGTGAGATTAAGGGGTGAGTTTAAGGAATTCTAGAAGTTTGTTTAAATGTTTAGCTTATAAAGCCCAAGATAGAAAGTATGTAATGAGTATTAGGCCGGAATATGAAAATAAGATCAGGAATTTATGACAATAATATTGTTTATATTATATGTCTAGATGTATATTGTACATCCAATTTTGACAGTAGGTATGGTCTTATTATTTGGTAGGCCTTAAGACTCATTTTAAGTTGATTTAAAATGTAATTAGTTATGCTTTCAGCAGAGAGACACTGTAAATTAATAATCTCTATTAAATTTTCTTGGACTCGGCCCTGTGCTTTACTCTTGTATCTACCTTCAAAGATCTTATAATCATATTATTTGCCTCATCTTCTGAAAAAATTGCTCTAAAATATTAATTCTGGGTTCTATTTTTTCCTTTTACGTTTTCTTTATAAACAACCTAGATAAAACATCTATTTCAAAATAGAAATTCTCTACCAATAACAAACATTTTTGCGGCAGTGTGAAATCATTAATTCTTTATTGTCCTTTTTAAACAAATGAACTAACGGCTTGTGATCCGTATATAATAAAAAGCTTCTTCCAATCAGATATTCTTTGCACTTTAATACAAACTTAACTGCTAAAGCTTCCATTTAAATTGTTAAATAATTGCTTTCAGCACTATTAAATCGTCTAGATAAGAATAAAATCGGCTTCTCAACACTATCTATGTTTGTAACCTATACCTTCATTAGATGCATCCACTGCTAATATAATATTCAAATCTTCGTTAAAACAATTCAAAATAGGTTAATCTACCATTTTTATATTAAGCATTTCAAAACTTGCCTCTCGTTCTTTTTCCCAGTCGAATTTAAATTTTTTTTAACAACTTGTAAAATGGTTTCGCTATCCCAGCAAAATTTGGTATAAACTGATGATAATAATTTGTAGCTCCTAAAAAAGCTTGTAATTCTGTCTTATTACTCGGTGCTCTCATGCTCATAATCTTATCTGTATTCTTTGAAATGGGATAAATTACATCTCCTTTTATTACATGTCCTAAGTACGTTACTTCCTTTACTTTAAAGGCATTTTTTTTATAATTAGCTTTCAGACCATTTTATAAAATAATATCTAACACTTTGATTAATCTCGTATTATGCTCTTGTTCTGTTCTACCTGATATCAAAACATCATCTAAATAATACACGATACCAGTTAATCCTTGAAACATAGCAGCCATCACTCTTTGAAATATTGAAGCAGCGTCGTAATCGTTAATATTTTACTTGCTTTCTCACTTACCTTAGTTTGTAAGTATTAGAAAAATCTATTTTCGAAAAAATTGTTTTAGATAATTGCTCTATTCTTGGTAAAGGATATTTTATTGTTATAACCCATGGGTTTACAGATATCCTATAATCAATGCATAATCGGAAGCTATTATCTGATTTTTTTATTGGGACTAACGGTGTTTCCCATACACTATGAACTATTGGTCTTATTAAACATTCTTTTAGCCATTTGTCTATTTCCTCTATCCAAGAAAACGATAACCTTCT